AGGGTGGTCAACAGGCTATTATTCTCAATTCTTCACAATCTCTGTTATAAAATTATACATCCACACCATTTGTCTTGACCTAAGGCATGGCCATATGATTTGTTTTGGTTAATGAGAGGTTAAAAGACTTGATGCCAGCAGAGGCTTAAAATGTGTTTTGGTAGTTCGGCCTGTTGCTTGCATTCCGGTCCTGAGTCACGAAATGAGTATGCCCCAGGTAGCTGCTGCCCCTTCATCCCTTCATGCTAGGTCCCAGAATGAACACACTTGGGAGTAGATCTAATCAAACCCCCAGCCTGGAGGCAGGGCCAGCCAACCCACAAACTGAAGAAGATGTGCCCAATCCAGCCTAAATCAAGAGAACTCCAGGCGATCTGTAGACACAGTATCAAAATAAACACACAGTGTTATAAGTCCCTCAATAAAATATGAGTTTGTTACACAAAACTGTATGGCAACAGTTGACCAATACACCCAGTAATCTCACACCAAAGAATTTATCCTAATGCAATCACAAACAGATTCACATACAAAGGTGTTTATTAGAGTAATATTTATATTAGTGAAAAAATGGACAACATCCTATTATCAACTAAAGGAGAATTAGTGAAATAAATTATGATCTAGTTAGATCATTAAATATTTGAAGCTGTTAAATGTTTTTGAAGAATTCAAAAATGTAAGATGTTCATACTTCAAATTTAAAAAGCATAGAAAACAAGATTCACTGTTTTACAAAATTATAAGCAGAGAAAAAGATCAAGTGGGTTAAATAATTAAGAAATACAAATGCTTTTCTGTGCTAAATATTATCTTATGCTAAACATTATAAAGTTAAGTAAGACAAACATGTCCCCTGACTTCCTGAAAATCAAAGTCTACTGAGGAAGACATATATTTTTTAAAATAATCACATACATGTCATTACAAGTTATAATAAGCTATTGTGGCAGAAATTACTAATTATCCCTAGTATTTATTTCTCCTCCCTCAGTGCCAGAGTCCCTGAGTTTCATTTGCTGGTGGCCACCTGGAAGAGACTACACTTCTGACCTTCCTTGTCCCTAGTTAACTAAGTTCTGACCAACAGGATCTAATTGGAAGTGGTGCACACAACTTCCAGCAAACATCTTTAAAAATAAAGGGCTTGCTCTTTGCTGCCTTTCCCACTTCTTACCAGATGGAGCAGCTATTTTGGACTATGATGTGGAGCTTCGTGCTGAGAATGGCAGGGCAACAGAATAGGAGGAACCCAGGTTCCCTGCCACCGTAGAGCCACTATCACCAGCCACAGTCCACCTACAGAGCTCCCACAGGAGAAACAAAATTCTACCTTGTTGAAGCCATTTTCACTCTGAGTTTTTAGTCATTCACAGCTGAACCTAATCCTAAATGGCACAGCTATAAAGGAAAAATGAAAGGTTCGATGAAAGATTATTATAGACACAGTTGGTTTTGACAGGAGGAAGGGGTTACAGAGATGGGTCCTCTGAGGAAGTAACATTTAAGCTGTTGCCTGACGCCTGGCCAGGAGAGCACCAGGTGAAGAGAGGTCAGGTGGCAAACTGTTCAAGGCAGGGCAATGAAAAATGCAACTACTATGGCTTAAGCCTTAATCACCACAGGGACAAACAACATACTTTGGGATGTTAAGATTGCTTCTACAATGAATCAGAATGAAAGCGGAGCACTAAAGCAACTAAGTGCTTTGGCTCCAGAATCAGAATCTTGACTCCAACAAGCAAAAGACCACATATGCATGTGAACAATAAGGAAGGAGGGTGAATGAGAATAAACGATATTAAAGAAATTAATAATTACTTCCACACTTCAGTATTACTAGTGTTTAAAATAGGTAGATTCTCTGATTAAAATGATTCATATACCATGAACAGACAAGAGTTTGGTGTTAAAATTTGTGTAATGTTTCTTCTCTACTTCTGATTATAAAGGAAACAAGGTTATTGTGGAGCAAATATACACAAGAATATGAAAAATAAATTATCAGTAAATTCATCACCTTCCAACAACACTTTAAACTCACACTATCTTTACACATATTTATATATTTATACACATATATACACCTATAACACACACATAAAAATGGGATTGTAATGCTTATAAAGTTGTATGTGCTTTTTCACTTATTTTATCATGAGCACTTTCCTTTGTCATCAAAAAATTTTTGAAACCATTAATTTTTAGTGGCTATATAACATAATTTCATTAGATGGTCAAGTCTGGGATTCCTGAATTAAAAACTGTCAACCTGGCCCTATGGGTCAAGAACGTGACCTCAAAATCTGCCATGGAAAGTTTCTATTCAGAAACCTCAAGTTAGAGTTTAAACGCGCTCGAACTTTCTAACCAAGGATTCAATGAAATTCACTGTGTTTTAGCCATGAAGGATGCTCCCTAAAGATCATTATCTTCCCAAATACAGTGTATGATTTCATGTCCTGAGAAAGAAACTGAGTATCAAACATTGCAGGAGCAATAACAAAAACAAATTAAGTAGTTACTGTAAGAATGACTATCTGCAATATTTCAGTTTTTTTTAATACAGTAAAGAGAATGTATGCATCTACTACTTGTATAATCAAGTTTTCAAATGGATATAGAAAAATGAGTGTAGAAAAATACATATAGAAAAAGAACAGAAACAAATAATTACAAAGGGTTCATCATTGTTAATTCCAGAATGTGACATTCTTTGAGTTATTCTGTATTTAAAATTTTTCTCACAATCAAAAAACTTATGTTAAATTAAAATTTTAGTCATGTAAGGTAATTCAGATTTCAGTTATTAAAATCTGAAGGAAAATCATTAAGTTTTCCCAGAGGCTAAGTGGATCTTATGAGAAAAGAAAAACAAAGCTGGGCATTCAGCATTAGGAGTCTGTCCTAAAATTATACTATTTTAAACTATCAATGTTCCATGTTGGAAATACGTGTGAGGAAAAACCAACTTTTGAACTGTATAGCTGTGTTTCCTTCAAATATTATCTTACCTAGAAATGATACATTTTCTGTTCTACCAAAAAGGTTATTTTAGCACCGGCTGGTGTGGCTCAGAGGACTGAGTGCCGGCCTTCAAACCAAAGGGTTGCTGGTTTGATTCCTATTCAGTGCACACGCCCAGATTGTGGGCCAGGTCCCCAGCAGGGGGCACAAGAGAGAAAACCACACATTGATGTTTCTCTCCCTCTCTTTCTCTCTTCCTTCCCCTCTGTCTAAAAATAAATAAAATCTTTTTAAAAGAAGATTATTTTAATAGTTAAGCAAATAAAATTGCAAGATCGCATTTCAGGTTCTGACTCCAGTTTTCTTTACTAATGCCAAACCCACTTTTTAAAATTCTAGTTTCTAAAATCCAAACTTAGTCCAGATGACAGTTTGCCTCATGATTCATATATAGTTGCAATTTTCTATTAAGCAAGATACCTAATAGAAAAAAATGAAGAATAAAAAGTTACAGAAATAAAACAAATCTTTGTATCTGTGCTCACAAACAAAAATTTTTTAAAGATGTAAATTGTTTTTAACTGCCCCATTTTCCTCCAATGCAGCACCAGCATTCCCCCCAATCCTTACTCTACTAATCAGTTCTCACCTTTTTTCTCCGCTGGAACACGTGAATTTTTCACCAAAAGTGACTCATTCATTGGCATCTTGTCAAAGTAACTCTGAAACTCTAAGGAAGCTCATCGCTAACAGAATTCTAAAGCTTGAACACCGTCACTAGCACACATCATTTTGACCTCAGAGAACTGAGTGACTATCACAGCCAAACACATACTAATAAACTGTTTATATTTTTCCTTAAAAATTTCCTCCACCACACCACCTCCTCCCAATTTTAGTTTGGCAATTCCCTTATCTAAAACACCTTCCACCTCTGGAGAAGACAAAATGGGGAAATTAATAGCTTAAGAACAGGAGAGGGAGAAAAAAACCAGCTGTTTACTCAGCTTGGTTTTAAAAAGTCTACTCTGAAAATTAACAACTGGTATCTATTACACATAGTTCTCAAAATTTATTTCTCCCCTTAGAGAAAAACACAATAATACACAATATAAACATACAAAAAATCTCCAGAAATAAAATATCCTCACAGCTATTATTTCATTAAATAAAAGTTTAAAAAACAACTGAGTTTAAAAATCAATAACAGAACTATTCAATCAAAAATCTTCAATGAGATATCACTAATATTAACTATCAACTGCAAATCAGCTAATCATTCTGATTCACACATTCACCTCCTCCATGATAGAAAACTGCTCCTTTTTACCAGAGGAAAGGTGGTGGGGAAGGAATAAGAAAGCAATGATTTGTCAGACTACCACAATTATGTAAAGCTCTATCAATTGTCACACTCCACCTGGTGGCAAGAGCTGCCTGAACTGGTGAAGTGGAGGTCATCATACAAGAAATTCAAAAAAATACTTTCCAGATGTCCTTGGAAAAAAGCAAGATGCTCTTTCTTTTGCCCTATACAGAATAAATCTAACAAGGTTCAACCAAAGTTTTTCACATAATAGTAGATCAATATCTAATAAAGATTAACATAGAGGTATCACAATAATCATAACAGGAGACCTATATTTAGAGCAATCTATTCTCTCCATTCTCTCCAAGTTAGCTGTCATCTCAAATCTTTAGGACAGGTAACAAAGCATATCCAGCAGCTCCCACTCCCACTAACTTTCTTTACCCCTTTCCCTATAGGTAAAGTACAGAGTTTAATTAACAGTTAACAGCAGCTCACCACATTGCTCTTAGATATTTGCCAGTAACATGTACCCATGGGATATTCCAGATAATGATTTTAACCAAAAATAAAAATAGATAAACAGGGCTCAAACAAAATTAAAACTGAGTCTGGCTGCCCACACTTATTTTCACACATGAGGAAAAATAGCAGTTCTCCTAGAAGTCTCAGGCAGACGTATCTTTAGAACACAATGTTAAAAATATGCCCCCCCTTCCCCTACCTGTTTCTCACTCAAAGCTGTGATTTTGGCTTGGAGCTCATGAAGCTGTTTCTTTAAATCAGCATTCTGATTGGAAAGAAAAAATATCTGTGAGAAAGATATTTCATTTGTTAACAGAATAGTAGCGAGAAGATTTTATGCATATTGCATTACAAATGATGAAGCAACCTTAAACATGTAGCCAGTCAAATTCATCATGCATTAAACTGTAGTCGTATTACCACTACCTACTGCATGGATCCTAAATGTAGGCTGCTGACACTAGAACAGGGGCAGCTCCTTTGCAATTGTTTTAAATTCTAAGAAGTTTTATATGTTAGTATCTGTAAAATAGTATTCCTTTTTACTAAAAATACTGTTATTCTTTACAGGAAGTATCAGTTGACAGAAAACCTAAAGCGCCACTAATCAGACAAAAGCAGGAAAATGGAAGTTGTAAGCACGAATACACCGCCTGCTTAACGGCATTATCAATAAAGATGAGAGGTTTTTCTCTACTTGCCCTCTCCCTTATTTAGTAGAGTACATTTGTTACTTTAGCCTAGATTTGAAAAGCTGTCAGTGCTGCAACTGCCTTAACACTACATCATTCAAATTAACAGACTGACTACCAGGGCATTTTCTCAGTTTTCAAATTCTAGGATTTAAAAAAGAATACTATTTTAGATGAGATACACTGAATATGCTTGCCTTTTACTCAAGTGAGGGAAAAACCAAGATTAAAAAAGCAAGATTAATGCTTAATGTAGCAGGATAGCCAACTAGCAGACTGAACACCATCTCAATGACAGACCGATTTTTTCTTCATCATTTCACATGCAATTCTTTCAATGGGCTCCGCCTGGTCTCCTGCCAGGTTAGGGCACACATCCTCCCTCTCATGCTTATTACTCCCTGTGGTCTTCTTTTCATAAATGTGTGTGTGTATAGACACAGGTAGGTAGATACGCAGATGCAGATACAGACACAGACAGAGCATCCATGGGACTGTCCAACAATTTACTGCCCCATAGATTTTCCTCATTAAGGTTGCTGTTACATGACCACCAGCTACATAGAAAATGCTCACGTTTTCTAATAATATTTCAGTTGCTGATAACATAGGTTACCATATTAAATATAAAAGAATTTATTAATCTGCATCTTGGTTCCCTAAATCTAATTTAAATAATATTTTTAAAATAAATAAAAATGGAGAAGCTTCTCAAAGAAGTTCCCACATCAAATAGAAATTAAATGTGAGCTATCAATGGACTGTGTTAAAACACTACTGTTAGGTCGCTGGGTGCTAAATTTTTTGAAATGACTATTATTCCTACTTCCAAATCGCAATCTGCCTCAGTACCATTCTTGAATCCAAGAATTTATTTGACTTATATTTTCAATGAGGCACGTATGGTATGTTTATCAAGCTAAAGATACATACACATACACCTGAGTACCCATCAGTGGGTCAGTTCTTTTGTGAGCAGATTATGAATCAACAAATGCAAGGAAGAAGCCCTAAGAGCTTGGTAAGTACTCTCCGTATTTATGACCCATAGTCTAAAAATTGTGAAAGAGACACTGCCTGAACAATAAATACAATCATGGAAGACAAAGTAACTTTTTAGGAAGAGTTCCCTTCAGGGACAGAGAATAAAATGTCTAAGTCAAAAAAACTTCTATGAGAATTTAAAGAAAATGTAGCATTTGCTAGGTTAAAGGCTCTTTGAAAAATAATAAAATTTTAAATGCTTTTTAAAACTTATTCTTAAATTCTTACCCTGAACATAGTACAATTAAGTATTCATAAGTTCTGTACACTATCTCTACTATGAACTATGAGAAAATAAGAATGGTTCTGGGCCACACTCAATAATTTTGAGGCTACAGAAAGCCTTACAAACTGATTTTGAATAAGTGGGCTTATGAAAAAGAAATTTAAGTTCTATGAGGAGTATTAATTCTCAATTTTCCCCCCAAATACTCAAAGCAATTAACACAAAAGCAAATAACAGTAACAAAGATGAAATGATAGCTACTGATATATTATAACCAAATGACTGGATTTTTCTAAACCCTTATAATATGAAGACCAATATGCTAATGTAATTGCTGTTAGATATGATAGTTTTTAATACCGAAATACTGGTATATACTTTAGTATTTTTATGGTCACTTTGTTTTAAATTATTTTAATTTAAAAATTAAATGAACAAAAGTAGTATTTTACCTGTGGATCCTGCTTCATTTGGGCAACCAGTTTCTGGTAATAAAGAGAGAAAAAGAGCATTCAGTCCTCACACATTAACTCAATATGGCCAATCTGGTTTAGCCCCCAAAATCTAGAGTTTTAAGCCCACACTCAAAAACGAGCAACAGCACAATCGGAACCAAAAGCTTCTGTCATCTACATAAGAGGTCAATCAGACACTTCTCTTAATATAAGAAAATAATCAAATTACCACTCTACATCTGAAATGAAGTGTTCCTGCTTTATTTTTCATCCTCACCTGAGGACATATTTTCTTTATTGCTTTTAGAGAGAGAGGAAGGGTAGGGGGGGAGAGAGAACGAGAATGAGAGAGAGAACCACTGATGTGAGACAGAAAGATCAATGTGAGAGAGAACATTGGTGGCCTTCTCATAGGTGCCCTGACCATGGATTGAACCTGCAACCTGAGCATGAGTCCAGCCTAGGAATGGAACCCACAACATTTGGTCTATAGGACGAGGCTCTAACTAAATGACTCACACCTGCCAGGGCAAAATGCTCCTGCTTTTAACAAATTTGGAGATGAGATGGGGATCAGGGTGGGGTTTAAAAGGCAATTGATCAAGCTGGATGCTCCAAAAGCAAAACATCTCTTTAAAATGTTGTAATTGCCTAGAGTCCCAAACTAGGCCTAGAAAACTCTGCTCCCATATACAAAGTGCAGAAGGAGCCTAGTGTCAGATGTGACTTGGCCACTGTCTTCTCAGTGAGGGGAGGTAGGGATGTACTTGGTGGAACAGTGATGCTCAGTATTCGAGAGTACGAAAGTGAAGGAATGATAACGCAAAACTCTACCTACCTGGGTTCCTCTGGGAAGGAGAGTTATCAGAATACTGACTAAGAAAAGACCTTTACTAAGGAAAACAGAAATCCAAACAAAATGAAAAACAAAGAAAAAATGGATATTGTCTGATCTTTTTTTTTTTTAAAGATTTTATTCATTTATCTTTAGAGGGGAAGGGGGAAGGAGAGAGGGAGAGAAACATCAATCTATGGTTGCCTTTTGTGCGTCCCCTGCTGGGAATTGGCCTGCAGGGAACCGGCCTGCAACCCAGGCATGTGCCCTAACTGGGAATCGAAGTGCGATCGTGTGGTTCGCAGGCCCGCGCTCAATCCACTGAGCTACACCAGCCAGGGCTATTGTCTGATCTTAACCCAACTTCTATAAGCATCACTGCCCAAGAATCTGAAGGATGAAGGAGTACCAGAAAGCTGACTCCTAAAAGTTATCTGGGAATAAAATGTTCCATAAGTAAACTTCTCATATAACTGAAAATCTGTCTCTCTGTTGGGTGACTAAATTTTTTAGTCATAAAATAAAACTTTCTCAAATATATTATATACTTGTCTGCCTTCTTAAATAATGGGTTAGCCAAAAAGTTCATTTAGTTTTTCCTGTACAATGGCTCTAGTATTGCTTGTCTTTAACTTCATTCCAAAATATTTTGTTAGATTGTATTGTGGCAGCTGTCATATCAGCATGCATTTAGAAAAAATTTATTAAAATTGGTGAATTTTTGTGCAGCCATTTAAATATTGAAGATGGAAGAAAATATACAACATTTTTGGTCTGTTATGCTTTATTATGTCAACAAAGGTAAAAACACAAATGAAATGCTAAAAAAGATTTGTGCAATGTATAGAGGTGTTGTGACTAATCAAATGCCTCAAAAGTGGTTTGCAAAGTTTCCTGGTACTACTGACCTTTTGGCCAAATAACTCTTTGCTGTGGGGCTCTCTTATGCATTGAAAGATGTTCAGCAGCACCCCAGGCCTCTACCCACCAGAAGCCAATAACAGGAGAGAGTCGACATACTCAAATTATCTAAATCAATAAAGCTATTGATGAAAATGAAAAGCATGTCTTTTATTTTACAGGAAAAAACCAAATGAACTTTTTGGCCAAAATAAAGAGTCAGCTTTTACTGTATAATCTTTGGTAAATGACTTCTAACATTTATTCTAGTTGGTCAAAAGCCTTATTTCAGGTACTGGGCTCCATTCTAGGTAGCTGAGGTTGCCAACCACATGACCTCCAAATACACAAGGTATGTAGGTTACTCTCTATATACTCTACTTCCCATGCCACAGCAGTAACTCTTATACATCCTGCTGTTAATTACAAAATAGTAATAGCGCACATTCCAAGAGCTCAGTGAAACTGAACAATAAGGTTCTAAGCACAAACATTTTTACCAATGCAGCCTAAAGGCTAACCACACTCTTCAAAGAGAAAAATCTTTGGTTTTCCTTTTTGATTTGGTTACCAGAGAGTTGCCTACTATATTAAAGTTGCCTTTTTGAAGCTGAAAAGATTTCCCTCCATGACCTGGAATTTAAAAACTACTCATAACCACACTAAAACGCCACCTCTGAGGAAATTAAATAAATTATTCAATCTGTAAGCAGTCCGGCTGCATTTTACATGATGAGAGGCAGGACTGAACAAGCTGGGCAACCTAACTAAACCATCCAAATATCAGTGATTTTAAGCTGACATTGTGTTATCAAACTTACTTTCTTTTCCAAGAATACAGCAAACTACAACCCACAGGCAAATCTGGCCATCTACCTGTTGTGTAAATAAAGTGTTATTGGGACACAGCCACATTCATTCATTTATATATTGTCTATGGCTGCTTTGTCTGCATAGCAGAGCAAAAGCAGAGCACAGTTTGTGACAGAGGTTTATAAATTACTTATAAAGTATAAAATATTTTAATTTACTATCTGGCCCTTTAGAGAAAATATTTGCTAACCTCTGCTTTATACTATTGGGTTCCATGTAGAATAAATACTCTGAAAGTTTAAATATGGCTTTCATCAAATCTGCATAAGAGTAATCAAAAAGGCGATTTCTAAAAAAAAGATGAGATGCCCATCACAGGCATTATATAAACATTTATTCAACATCAATTATGTGCACACTACTTATTAAACCATTTTCCTATCCATAAAGAACAAAAAATATACTTCTATGACAGCAATACCAGATAGTTTCATAACACACTTTCTATACAGTGAGCTCAATTGCAGCCCTACCTTCATTCCATAGCCGGAAATGCACAGAGGGGTGGCTTTTGCCCCAGCCTAATAGCCAGAGCCTGCTCTGATGTCATTCCTGACAGCCCTGAACTTGTCATAACAGGTGATCAGTAAGTTACCACATATCCAATCAGAATAAGATTAGATTTACAAACTAGGCATGTCTCTTGGATTTACTGTTAATACTTAAATTTTTTTTAAAAAACAGAAAAGTATTCTAAATGTAACTGGAGTAAAAATATCTTAGTATTTCTACATGTTAAAATACTATCAATAAACATATCAATGTTTATTACTGCAAAACAAAATATAAAGGACAAATATAAGTACTATTAATTTTATGCTAAAAAGAGATAAATACATAAGGAAATAGACATTAATGTGAATATTAAGACATGGCTGGGATGACTTTCTGAAGAATATTATATCCTTTTTGAGTCAACAAATGTAATTTTAAATGTAAATTAGATTTTAAAACAGAATAGGCATTAAATTTTTTCATAATTATACTTTTCATGAAACTGGTATGCTTATATTAAATATGAAACAAAATATTTTAGTATTCTACTTAATCTTTAGTAATTTAGTTTAATTTAGGTCATGAGTCTTCCAAGAAAATCTTGTTGGGATTTGTTCATATTTTGTGAGGATGAACTAAAAGCAAAATGTCAACTCTTCCATCTCAAAATTTCTTGAGTAGGATTATCTCCAACAATCACAACTTCATTAAATGATCTCTCATCCATGTAACTTTCAGATTGATTACTGTTCTCCAGAAATCTGTCCTATGATGATGTCAGCTTTGAACAAACTGTGAACTATCGTCATTTGCCATTCGGCCACACTGAGCACTCAACACCCTCTATGTTAAAATACTTCAGTCCAGGAAAAAGACAAAGCTTGTTTTTTGTCAACAGATTTTTATTCTCCCCAATTTGTAACAGAAGTAGGAACAAGTGAATAAAATGTGCTTATTTTTTAATATACTAAATTTAAATATATAAAACTTATTATATACTAAATTTCTTAGTTACCATAAAAACACAGTTCACATAGAAAAGCCCACCTGTACATGGCAAACTATAACACTACTGCTGAGCAAGACTTTAACAAGATTCAAAGCAGCAGCAGGGATTTCTGAATATGCAAAGCCTTAATGTAAAAGTGTGTGTGTGTGAACACACAAAGCTTTGAATCTTTCTGAGAAACTTGCAAATAGTGTGAAGACTACTCAGATAAAACTAAAGAAATTATATCTAAGAACAAACACCTTTAAAAAATATTTTTCTCCTATTCCAACACCCTGAACATTCTAAAGTAGTCCATTCATCATGATTTGTCACTTTTTATTAACCAAACATCATGTATGTCTATGTGTGTGTATTGAATCTAGAACCACAGCCAGTTAATGTATTGAAAAGAGATATTCTGTTTATACGAAAAATGTTAATGATTTAGTTACTTAAGGATTGCTTTTTGTATGGGTTACAGTTATGTTAAATAAAACATACATATTTAACATTTAAATTATATTTAATATACAATGTATTTTATAAAATAATTATATCACATAAATATAATCATAAATATATTTTTGTTTCTGAAAAACAAACCTATTTTAAAGGTTGTTTAGCCTAAGTACCTGAGGCAAAATGTAAGAATTATGAAATTTGAAATGTAACATCTGTGAAGGCAATCACATTTTCTTCATTAACAACTGGAATCAAGGCATAAAACTGAATGCGTAAAAACTGTGATATACCTAGTAATCGAGTCAAACCTGTCACATTGAAAACATGCAAGTTAAGTCATAAATCACATGAATCAAGTCCCTCAGATGAACCGGAAAAAAGTTTCTCTTTAACACCTTTACTACACCAAAAATTGTTTTCAATTCATTTCTGTGAAAAGGAAACCAGGAATATTTTTATAAAGCTCCCAGAAGTATTATCAATGAGTTTAAGTAGTGATAAAAGGCAAATGAGGTGACTACTGGACATCTGTCTGAAAGATGATTAACAATTGTACTAAAAATCAGAGAAGGGCCTGTTTACTAATCTCAGTCATTACTTAATACCATGATGTGGGAAAAGCCAATAATGCAACATACCTGGTGAACCTGAATTTCCACTTTAAGAGCTTCCTGTAGAGTCTGCAACTCCATTCTCTACCTTCTCCACTTTCTCTTATGTCTGCTAGTTCTACAGTTTCTTCAGCCTCCGTTTAAAATAACAAACTCCTCTTCTCACTGCAGCTGTAGAGATCAATCAGTGTTTTGGATCATTATGTTAGGTATATAGGAAATATTCATGTTATATACAATAAATTACAGTAGTTAAAAAATTTTTGATTCTCTAGCATAGGGCAAGAAATTTCCCAAACAGATTTCTTCCCAAAGTGAATTGTTGTACTGAATTGGTACCAAAACTTTCTGTTCTTTGAGCATTCCTCTACAGAACACTTCAAATAAGTAAGCAATGAAAAAAAATGTGTTTAGTCTGGTCATGAAAACACCCATGCACCTGCCAGGTGCTCAGTACCACAATGCGCACCATGCTCTGAGGATACAGTGCTGAATGAGACCACTTCTGCCCTGGATGAGCCAGAATTCTAAAGGGGAGACCACACCCATCCAGGACACACTGTCCTTAGAAAGAGACATAACAACAGGGTCATACGTTTTTTAAACACCACACAGAGTGAACTGGAAACTTCAGGGTCTCTCACAAGTTCCAGAAGGCCAGAGGACTTTAGTGGATGAACTCTTAACTCTTATTTAAAATATTCTAAAACTAAAAACAGGAAAATTCTGGTTTAAGTTAAAGGCTTACATTGAACAAATCAATACTTAAAACAAGGCAATGTAACTGTGTTCTCCACAAAGTTATGAAAGGGCTATTAAAAACAAATCTAGTGTACACAAGAGATGAGGTGGTCTAGCAATGGAACAGACGTCTCCAGCTTTACAATGAACACCGCCCCCTTCTCAAGGCCACCAGTGCATCTCTTTGCCTCTGTGTAAACCACATATGGAAATAATGTCACAAGTCTACATTTGTGAATGGGAACTCTCCTATCCTGCTCTGCTTGTCACTACTGCAATTTAAACTAACTCGATGGTTAATTTCTTTTAATATTTTTCTTTTTTCTTGTATCAAAATATGCTTAACCTAAAAAACAGTAAATTATGAAAGTGTAAAATTCCTTCAAACTCACAAAGCAAAATTTGCTTATGTCTGAATAAAATTAAACGTTCATCTCCATACCTACAAAATTTGTAGTAAGAAAAACTTTTCAGCATTCTTATAAACCAAGGAAAGGGAACAATCAGAAAGCTACAAGAATCACTACTCCTTAAACCAATTCAATGAGATTCATACTCTATACTTTCTAAAAATTATTTATCTATGGACAAAAGTCCATAGTCAACCTGAGTTTTCTTAACACTCCCTTAAAACCTAATTTGACAGTTATAATAAAATCATTAACTGCAGAATATACTTGTCAATATTTTTTAAGGTATATTTTATTGATTGCATCATTAAAATTGTCCCAATTTCCCCCCTTTTGCCCCCCTCTGCCCATTACCTCCTTCCCTCCAAGCAATGCCCCCCTTAGTTCACGTCCATGGGTCATGCATATAAATCCTTTAGTTTCTGCATTTCCTATACTATTCTTAACATCCCCTTGTCTATTTTGTACCTACTAATTATGTGTTTTTATCCCTGTACCTTCCCCATTCTCCCCCTTCCCCCACCCCAATGAACCCTCCAAATGATCTCCATTTCTATAATTTCATTCTTGTTCTGGTGGTGTGCTTAGTTTCTTTTTTAAAGTATATTTTATTGATAATGCTATTACAGTTGTCCCACTTTTTCCTCCTCTTTATTCCCTTCTGCCCTGCACCCCACTCCCACCAGCATTCCCCCACTTAGTTCATGTCTATGGGTCCTACATATAAGTTCTTTGGCTTCTCTATTTCCTATACTATTCTTAACCTACCCCTGCTTATTTTGTACCTACCATTTATGCTTCTTATTCCCTGTACCTTTTTCCCCCGTTCCCCTCCCTTTCCCCCCACACTGATAACTCTCCATATGATCTTCATTTCTGTGATTCTGTTCCTGTTCTAGTTGTTTGCTTATTTGTTTTTGTTTTGTTTTTTTGTAGGTTCAGTTGTTGATATTTGTGAGTTTGTTGTCATTTTACTATTCACAGTTTTGATCATCTTCTTCTTCTTAGATAAATCCCTTTAACATTTCATATAATAAGGGCTTGATAATGGTGAGCTCCTTTAACTTGACCTTATCTGGAAAGCACTTTATCTGCCCTTCCATTCTAAATGATACCTTTGCTGGATAGAGTAATCTTGGATATAAGTCCTTGCCTTTCATGACTTCAAATATTTCTTTCTAGCCCCTTCTCTTGCCTACAAGGTTTCTTTTGAGGAATCAGCAGATAGTCTTACCAGAACTCCTTTGTAGGTAAATGTCTCCTTTTTTCCTTCCACTTTTAAGATTCTCTCCTTATTTTTAATCTTGGGTAATTTAATTATGATGTGCCTTGGTGTGTTCTTGGGTCCAACTTCTTTGGGACTCTCTGAGCTTCCTGGACATCATGGAAGTCTATTTCCTTGGTCAGATTGGAGAAGTTCTCCTTCATTAGTTTTTCAAGTAAGTTTTTCATTTCTTGCTTTTCTTCTTTTGGCACCCCGATGATTTGGATGTTGGAGTGCTTAAAATTGTCCCAGAGATTCCTAAGCCTCTCCCCATTTTTTTGAGTTCTTGTTTCTTCATTATGTTTTGGTTAAATGTTTATTTCTTCCTTTTGCTCCAAGTTGTTGATTTGAGTCCTGATTTCCTTTCCTTCAATGTTGCTTCCCTGTTTTTTTTTTATTTCACTTTGCACTGCCTTCCCTTTTTCCTCTATTTTGCAACCATACTCAACCATTCCTGTGAGCATCCTGATTTCCAGTGTTTTGAACTTTGCATCTGATAGGTTGGCTAACTTCATTCCTCAGTTCTATTTTTTATAGCTTTGATCCGTTCTTTCATTTGGGCCATATTTTTTTTGTCTTGGGGCATTTGTTATGTTGTATGGGACAGAGCCTTAAGTATTCACCAGGGCGGGACAACCCACTTCTCTGCATTGTGGTGCTGTATGTGGGGGAAGGGTCTGAGAGGGAACAATGCTGCTTGTTTGGCTCTCTGCTAGCCTTCAGTTACTTCCCCCTCTGCCCACAAGCAAATTAGGCCCTTTTGGTGCTGATTCCCCGGTAGGTGGGTTTGTATACATTCTAGGACCCTATAGGTCTCTCCGACAAACTCTCCAGTGAAGATGGGAGTACCTCCCACCACCACAACCCCCACAGATTCTATAGCCTGAGGTTTTGAGGCTTTATTTCCCCATGCTGGGACCCTAGGTTGCCAGATCTGTCTTGCACCACAGTTGTTCCACCTGATTTATCTGGACACAAATGTGGGACTGCTAGCCACTGCCTTGCCACAAGTCCTCTTCACCCTGGCTGCCCATCTTTGTCCCTCCTACCAGTCTGAATGTTTCTTCTTTTACTCCTTCGTTGTCGGACTTCCATACAGTTCGATTTTCTGACAGTTCTGGCTGTTTTCTATTTTTGAATTTGTTGTCACCTTTCTTTTGGTTGTGGGAGGAGGCAAAGTGTAACTACCTATACCTACATCTTGGCCGGAAACCCTGTGTGCTTATTTGTTTTGTTTTGTTTTGTTTTTTTAGATTCAGTTGTTGATAGCTATGAATTTGTTGTCTGTTTAACATTCATAGTTTTGATCACCTTTTTCTTTCTTAAATAAGTCCCTTTAACATTTCACATAATAAGTGCTTGGTAATGATGAATTCCTTTAGCTTTACCTTGTCTGGGAAGCACTTTATCTGCTCTTGCATAATAAATGATAACTCTGCTGGACAGAGTAATCTTGGATGTAGGTCCTTGCTTTTCATCACTTTGAATACTTCTTGCCAGTCCCTTCTTACCTGTAAGGTTTGAGAAATCAAAAGATAGTCTTTGGGTACTCCTCTGTAGTAACTCTCTGCTTTTCTCTTGCTGCTCTTAAATTTTTCTCTTTATCTTTTACCTTTAGCATTTTAATTACAATGTCTTGGAGTGGTCCTCTTTGAGTCCAACTTGTTTGGGATACTCTGTGCTTCCTGGACTTGTATGTCTATTTCCTTTGCCAAATTAGTAAAGTTTTCTTTCATTATTTTATCAGGCAAATTTTCAATTTCTTGCTCTTCCTCTTCTTCTTCTGGCATTCCAATTATTTGGATGTTAGCACATTTGGAGATGTCTCAGAGGCTTCTTATACTATGTTCATTTTTAAAAATTTGTGTTTCTTCTCGCCATTCTGATTGAATGTTTATTTCTTCCTTATGTTCCAAATCATTGATTTGAATCCTGGCTTAGCTTCCCTTCACTGTTGTTTCTCTGTAGATTCTTCTTCTTCTTCTTTAATGCTTTTCTTTTCTTTCTTTTAAAAAGATTTTATTTATTTCTTTTTAGAGGGGAAAGGAGGAGAAACAGAGTAGAACATCCATGTATGCTTGCCTCTCGTGCACCCCCCTACTGGGGACCCAGCCCACAACCCAGGCATGTGTTCTAGACTGGGAATTGAATTGGTGGCCCTTTGGTTGGAGGGCTAGCACTCAATGCACTTAGCCACCCTAGCCAGGGCAGATTTTTATTTCATTAGCATAACCCTCATTTCTTCCTTTATGTTGTTGCTATACTCAGTAAGTTCTTTGAACATCCTGATCACCAGTGTTCTGAATTCTGCATATGACAGGCTGGCTACCTCTGTTTTTGTTTAGTTCTTTGTTCTGTTCTTTCATTTGCGTCGTATTTCTTTGTCTCCTCAAGTTGGCAGCCTTCCTGTATTTGCTCCTGTATACTAGATACAACTGCTTCCCCTGTATAGGCACCTGTAAATTATGTGGAGCAGAGTCTCAGGTAATCGCCAGGGGAGGCAACCTGCTTCACCGCTTTGTGGCTGTGTGTGGGGGGGATGCTTAGAGAGGGGATGGTGCCACTGCCTGGCTTCTGGGGGTTTGCCCAGCACATACCCTGTTTCCAGTCACTTTACCCAATCCCTGTATGTGAATGTGCCCTTCCAGCTGTTTCCTTGGTGCTGAATCCAAGAGTCGGTGGGTTTGCATATGTTTGAAGACCTTGTAGGGCCTTTTAAGTGAAGTTCCCTGAAAATCTGGCAGTTTCTTCTGTCACCCCAATCCCCACTAGTTTTTATAGCCAGAAGTTATGAGAATTTATTTTTCCAGTGCTGGAACCCTGGGCTGTGTCATCTGGCCTGGGGCTGGGATTACTTGCTTTCAAAATGTCCCTCCTGTTTTTTATCTGGCACACATGAATGTGAGATATGACCTGTTCCCATTCCACCACCGCTGCTGCCTCCTGGTGCCACACCATGTCTCCTTGCCTACACCTCTCCTATCTGGATGAATGTGGCTTATTTAAATCCTTCGCTGTCAGACTTCCATAGAGTTCGATTTTCTGACAGTTTGGGTATTATCTGTTTTGAGACTTAGTTGTAATTACTTTTTTGTGGTTGCACGAGGGGGTGAAGCATGTCTACCTACACCCCCCATCTTAGCTGGTCAGTATTAGTTTTCATTATATTTGCTTAATTAACCTCACTAGACTTAAAGCATCGCTACTGGCAATCTTTCCCCTAGGGTTTATATACTGTTTTGTAGTATCAAAATATTCTAGGCTAAAAAAAACATTTCTAAAGTGTAAAATTCCTTCAAGTTCACATTTGTGGAGGCTAGGAAAGGATTATTATACAATGATATTATCAACCAAAATATTTCATGAAGATAGTATGTTTAGGGAATAAAACTGGCAAAGAAGACATATTTTGATAAATAAACTTGGGTTTTTCAGCTACTTATTACCTTAGAAAATCTTCGCAAGTATAATAAACAAACATGAGACTCGTTAAGTTACTAATTTAGACCAAGGTTTTTGTTGTCATGTGAGATTATGTTACTTACAAACTCACATGTTAAAACTATAGTCACTTTAATTTTAAATACTAAAATAATCTTTCTACTAAAATTCTTGACTTATACATTAAAGTTCTTCCTGAAAACAGTATTTGAATTAGTTTTAATTTTGCAGTAAATGTGTCCAAAAATCTCCGTATTTGTCAAATTAAGAATCATCTTGAAGTTAAAGGGGTATTTTCAACACCAGAAAGGCCATATTTTATTTTACTGGTTGTAACATATTAACATCATAGCTCAACTCAACTCCTATCAACTATGGAAACAAACAGCAGGCTGAAAACATAGAGAACTTAGAATATAAACAACAAAGAGTTTTACAATTACAGTGCTCATAAGTTTTAAAACTTCGAAAAAGCAATTCATTTTAGAAATAAAAACCACCAACAAACATGAATGAAAAACATAGCCATATTTACACAGCCAAATTTGCATAGAAATGTAAATTTTAAGAAGATCAGTTTTGTCTCTCAAACTGATAAAGATTTATAAAAATAATAACACCACAAACTGCCTTGAGTGTGGGTTGGACAGCACCTTCGTAACTTGCCACTGGTAGTTACCTCTGAGGGGCAACACCAGGGGTTTTTACTTTCTTCTTTCCACAATATCGATATTTCAAAAATGTCCACAGAAAACAGACACTTATTTTTAAATAACAAAAAATTAATTGAAGGTTGCTAGATAAAGCATCAGAAAATTTTACACTGATGAAGCAAAATGGTTAGGAAAAGAAAAAGTAAAACCCAGGTTTAACCCAGAGGCTCTAAATGTCAAAGAGTGCCTAGCAGGGTAAAAAGCCTGCAACTCAAGTTAACAAGGGGCTGACGGCTTTTACTTCCTTTGTCAGACTGTTGTCTACTCATTAGAGACACACAAAGACACAGATTGAATTTGGCAAAAACTCTAAATGCCAATTACTCATTTTACTTCAAAATAAAACATTTAAAAGAAGGGTTAAAAAAGGCAGTGAACTGCTGTACAAAAACTTATGGAGGATTAGAAAATTCATTTGATATAATTTTTCATAAAAGTCTCTTACTGGATAGCAATTTTGCAAGACTGGTCTCTCCCTAAAGGAACATATTATATACACACATTTATAGAACCCAAAAACAAAGCAGGAACAGGTTGAATTCTTTTTAAAAATATTCTGGGGACTTAGACAACTCCTGAAGCCATCACATGAAGACCATTTGGGTGTAGTTCATAGCATCATAAAGGAGGCATGACTTGATAAATCCATTAAAAAAGTTATTTATCAAATTCTGACCAACTCTAGTAAGTTACAAATAAATCAGTTGTTGTATGGTAAACATAAACAGATGCACAAAAAAGTAATAAACACACTGTACTGAGGGACAATGCCCATTTACCACCTGACAGCCCTAAATACTACCATCAGGAAGGACACTGCCTAGGACAAAATACCAACATTTGTGATTTCAAAACTATACACGTCAAACCACTGGCACAGGTAATGGCCTCCCACCTTCTAACAACAAAAAAACAAAACATAAACAAATAAAAACTCCACCAAGGAACCAAACAAAAACAATAATCAAATCCCACTAAGAAAGGCAGCAGTGAACTCTGGGAAGAATTTCTGATCAAAAAACCTAACTCCATTTACTCACTGTGTTATCACTCTCAGCTTCAAGGTTTAAAAAATTTGTATGTCTGCATATAAATCAGGAAAATGGGAACAGTATCACTTCATATACACTTCATAAAACTGTTAGGAGGTTTAAATAAGGTAAGTACCATATGAAAAGTCCTTTGTCAACTATAAAGTTCTATGTTATTCCTAACATAATGCTTTTATTCATACACACAAACTTTACGTCCCCACACAGTAATACTGCTGAGGGGACCACAGGCTTTCCTGTTTTGAAATTCTCTAAGAAGGAGTTTCTAACTATTTTTCTGGGTGTAGTTCTGCTTGGAGATATGTGACCTCTAGGTCTTTCATCATGATTCTAATAATTTAATAATGCTATAACTCTGAATTTACTGCTAAGAAACACTGCTCTGTTCCTGAACTGCTATAAACCTTTTTCAAATCAAAACTCAACTCATCGACCAAGTTTCTTCAACAGTAGGTTCATAATACGTTGTGCCCCCAGACTGAATTCCCTAAAAACGGTCAGCTCCGTGTCCGCTGTGCTGCAGTTAGTTGGTGTAAGACTCCACTTTTGACCTATACTCTCAGCATAGTGTTTTCAGTAGGTACAATTAATTTTTTAATATAAAAAAGTAGAAAATCTTCACAGATCTATGTATCCTTACCTGTCACATGCCTAATACTAAAATATTAGGTTTCAATTTGTGCAAAATACTACGTATGTAACATGCTAAGAGATAAAACAGTATCTTTAACTTTTAACTAACAGTGCTAAAAATGATCACGGATGCTAAAAATAATAAAATTCTTTTAGTAACACTTACTGAAAACTAACATTTACTAACGTGGATCAATTAAAAAAATGACAGAAAATATAATGTCTGTTTTTTTACTTTCATGGTGGTAGCTCTGCAGTGACACCCCTCCACATCAACAAGACACACCCCTGCACCAGGAGCCGGGCATCCTGCTCGAGAGACTCCCACTTGAATCTGGCAAAGCGACCGCGCTCACACCCTGGTATTATCAACTGCTGACAAAATCACTTCAGCCAGTGCAAATGATGTTTCCTAACCATTACGTTAAATTTCTATACCCCTCCCCAAATTTATGATATCTGAATGTCTGAGTGTGTTTGAATATAAAATATATATCACTTCTGTTTTATTTGGCGGATCCTTATTTAAAAAAAGGAATACCTACACAGGTCACACGGTTCCACCAGAAGGATGGGGCGTTTCGGGCCAGGTCAGGTCCCCGCAGCGCCCTCTCCCTCACGGGTCTGCTGCAGTGTCTTCACCTCTCCCTCCAGCCACTGCTCATTCCAACATCCAGTTTCTACCTCAGCTTCCTGGGCCCAGGCCTAACTCGAACACACACATTCTTCTATTGCCCACCTTTCTTTACAGAAATCAAGCATGTTTACCAAAATCATCTCAACTATACTTGACAATCAGAATGTTGAGCTGAATTAAAAAACTCACAGAAATTCAAAATGAAGGAGGCTGGAGAGTAGTGTATAACAGCATAGTGAAAATGAGGCCAAGATTTTAGAATTGGTTCCCACATTTACCAGAATACTATTTAATGATTAAAAAAAAGTCCAGACAAGAGTGGCCGGAATCATATGCATATTTACTACATAAAAGTTAACACAGAGGGTATGGTGGTCTTGGCATAACCAGTAAGTACTTAGTAGAAGTAGAGGTTATGGGAAATAGATTTCAGATCAATTTAAGGAAGAGCTAAGGATTAGAGCTGTACAAAAAAGGAATGGGTTACCTTATGAGGTAGTGGGCTCCCTGTCATTAGAAGTATTCAAGAATGCTGCATATCATATCCCCCTCTTGGAGATTCACAATGCACATTAGCATATTAAAGGTTCTGAGAAGTCCTGCAGTAAAGAAACCTGTTTAACTTTAATGCAGCATTTCCCAAATTATTTGACCACAGACATTTTTCCCACCCCCACCCAACCTCAGTAATATTGATTCATTTCTATGGACCTAGATTTCCTCAAAATACATTATAGAAAATAATGTACATTTTTTAAAATGTAGTATTCAATGTGTACCCAAATAACAATCTGTTAGGGATATAGGAAAAAAATGCCTTTTACATTAGGTAAAAGGCTGGAAGAGAAGGACCTCAAAGTCCCTTCGCTAAGATTCGATGATTCTATCACATTTTAGAGTAAAGGACTATTGGGTCTTGATCATTTATTTCAAAAGGTTCCATGAGAGAAAGGCAAGTAGAATAAAAAAGTAGTAAATGCAAAGTTAACTGGTTCAAATGCCTCTCTTTCATGCTCAAAGCCCAATCACTACAAGATAAGAAAGACACCTCAAGTTTTCAAAAAGAAGCCTTAACCAAGTATCTACTCCACACATTAAGTTAATTACTATTTAAGACAGAGAATTAAAAAACTAAAAAACAAAAAGAATAGCTTTGCATTAGGGGACTATGCTATACCAGCTATTTGGTTTGAATTTAATTTTTTATCATTATACACGCTCTCCAAATAAGGTTAATATTTGTTTGATCCTTTGTTACTAGATTGCCCTGTGCAATCTGTGATCTTGAATTAGACATTCAGAGAAATGATTAAGTGTGATGATTTATAAGCTGTTAAAGTAGATTTTAAAGTCAATATTAGAGAAAAAATGTTTGCCTATATGTCCCACACTGCTACATTTCTATTTTTTCCTCTTTAAGAATTATACAAAACAACACACACTAAAAATATAGTATCAGACATTAAGCCAATCCAACTTTAAATTTAGAAATATAAATGCTTACAAGTCCCAAATTTCAAAGTCAAGGTTTCCACAGTTACATTAACCTAGCCATTTTGCACATATACTAAGGCCATCAAATTTAATAGCATATTAAGTAATAAAAAACACAATGGGAACCTTAACTTTTGAATTTCCTGACTTTTGAATTTTCAGCTCTATCCATTGAATTAAGGACATTTTTGGCAAAGGGGACCTTTACACTTTAACAGGTTATCGAGTGTAGGAACATGCAAGCCTAGCAGTATTATTAGAAACACAAATGCATTTGAGATATAGCTATGTGAAATTAGACAAAAATTCACTCTCACTTGGTGAAAACAGCAAAGCCTCATATCTGGGAAGAGAGCTTTTTTGCAAAAATTCACTGAAGAACTAGCATCAGGCACATTACGCCTGCCTGGTAAAAGTACTTACCAATTTTGAGGAAACTGGCCCTCCTTCAACACTCTTGTTCCCTACAATAGAAAGAGGGAAAAATGGAATTAGACTACAAACACAGATTTATGACATGTCATCAAAAGCTGAAGAAAGATTTCTACCTGATCTTAAGAACAAAACTACAAAATACAAAAAAAATCTCCAAAGTGCTAAAACCCAAAAGAAAGAAAGAAAGAGATAGGCAGTTTTTAGAGCAAGGAATGAATTCAGACATTAAATCTCTGGTTTTCCAGTTTTTTCACTTTTCCACAGTTTTTTTCAAGACAAGGAAAAGTAAATTTTGATGATTTTCCTTTCCTAAGAAACACAGAGAAATGAAATGCACCTCATCTAAACAACATACAAATATACTCTCATTCTCCAACAAATGACCTTCATTGTTTATTACTTGATATTAACAAATTGAGCTAACATCATGGGTACTTAGTTTGGTCTACTTAAAAGGCCTTTTTACAATCAATCTTGAAATGGATTTGTTTTATATAAGACTTTTTTAAAGTTCACAGCCTTTTATATGTATAGTCACAATTTTAATTAAACTTTTCATTCACATTCTTCAAGTCTCACCATTTTAGACTGTAAACCATGTAACACAAAAGTGACTTTCCCACTCTGACTGGTGTGGCTTAGTGGGTTGGGCATCGATCAAACTGAAAGGTCGCTGGTTCAATTCTCAGTCAAGGCACATGCCTGTGTTGCAAGCCAGGCACCAGGGTGGGGGCATGTGAGAGGCGACCAATCAATGCTGCCTCTTGCTCTAAACCTATCCATATTTTCCTTACACTTTAAACATAGTAGATTTGGTGACTGATGTTACTCCATGGTGTTCTCATTTCTTCAAGGGGTATTTCAAAAAATCTTTTATGTCACCCAGATTATAAATTTTTGTTTAATCCTATATAGTCATACCAAACATATAGTAAAATAACCCCAAGTCCATGCAGTTAACATTCCTTTCCAAAAAATTTCAATTTGCTGTTTTATCCTGTCTTTCCTTTAGCAGCAATACTTTTTAAAGTTCTCAAGTCCAAATAAGTGGCAATTTCAATCACCAAGACTAGAATGACTCCCAACCAAAAGAAAAATCATACAAAAATCCGTAGCATAATATGGTTATTAAAAAGTAGATTCTCACAAGGAAACAAAAAATGTGTAACTATGTATGGCGATGGATATTAACTAAACTTACTGCAGTAATCACTTCACAATACTCAGATATATCAAATAATTATTCGTATATCTAAAACTAATACGATGTTATATGTCAATAATATCTCAGTTTTAAAAAGTGGATCCTTAACATTATGGGTACCTACAGGACTCTGTAGCACCCAAACCAGGACCAGGCACACAGCAAATGCTCAGGAAATATCTGTTAAATGAATGAATTCACTGAGGACCCTTAACTCTCTGTTGCAGATTTGTTCTCTTGTTAGCTTTTTCATTCTGGGGATAATTTCTTACACATCAGTCGTCCACAGCATTATTTTTCAAGTGAATGACTTTGGACAAAAACAGTTAAGTTAAATATTACCATTTAAAACATAATGAAAAGGACTAATAATTTAAACTAAATTAAACTTAAGAACTTTTCATCAAAAACAATGAGAATGAAAAAGCAAGTCACGGCACTGTGGATGGTAACTGCAACAAATATAGCAGTGGTTTACACCCAGAATATATAAAATATATTTATACTCAAGGTGATCAGATAGTGTTGGAATTTTAACTTTCACTTATATGGCATTTGAAAAAGTATAGTCACATAACTCCTTTTAAAAGTCATATTCAGTAAAAAGGCACAATGGATGAACACCTTATCTCCAGGACATTTCTCCAAAAAGCAGTAGCAGAGTCAATCCCAAACCAGTAAAGAATGTTACCACAATATCATGAAACTGCATGCAGGGACCACACAAATCACCTAGGACAGCAGAGCCTGAGAGGTTCAGTGACTTCCCCGAAAGTCACACAGCTAGCTGGTAGTAAAGCTGGAGCAAAGCACAGAGGCCCTGAGATTTTTCTGACTGAGCTGGCCTTTCCACCAGACCTCACTTCCTCTTAACCAGCTGTAGCAGTTACTCGTCTAAGAAACAAACTACAATAAATACTGGCCAAATATTTTTGGAAAAGTCTGCATACCATGTTTAAAGAAAAATCATATAAGTAAGCTATGTAGGGCAAATTTTAAAGCCTGATGAGATCCTTTATGCCTGAGGGATCCCTGGGAATGGGCTTTGGAGACATTTGGCCACTCTATAATACTATATGCTAAATTCTATACGTATGAAAACTCTGGCAAAAGGATCCGCAGCTTTAATAAGATTCAGAAAGAGGTTCAGGTACCCCAAAAGAGTAAACTATTTTTTTAGACGAGTGATTTCTTAAACACTGCATCAGAACTACCAAAGTGTTTCTTCTAAAGAGTGATTATTAATTGACTACTATTTGGAAATCGATTTTTTTAAAAAGGAAAAGCAAATATTTTATTTCTATAATTTAATAAGAATAAATTTGCAGCAAAAAAGATTTATATGTAATATTTTACTTTTTGCACTACCCAAGTCTGAAATGCAAGACTGCTGGTCTCATGTTCAGCTGACTAAAAGTCCACTTAATTTGTTTCTCACATACAACTCACACTTTTAGCTAAAGTAGTTCAAAATTTTAACATTTGCTTAAATTTTTTAAATACAGATTCGTCCTTGAAAAATATATTAAAAATATATACATTGGAGTGAATGAAATTATTTTTGCTTTAGAGATATTATCTTGTTAACATAACTTCACTTGATTTTTTGCAAACTGAAGGTTGTTCACCTCTTCAGATCCTCACAAATATATGCTTGACTTAGATATGGTAAAGAAATGAATCATTCAGGTTTATGATCTAATTGTAGAATTTAAAATATCACCAATAAATCGAAGGTGATTAATAACTACCTCTTAATTACCTTTAATGTAGTATCTAAAACCTCTGTACATGAAGAATATATATTACACAAACAAAATTTGCAGAGAAAATAAAATGTTCAATAGTAGATCATGTTTTAAATCCGACTAAAACTCATCCCACTACAAATTTCAAATGATTAAGTTTATAGTGTATGCTCAATCATAAATTTTGATAAGGGATGAAAATAGCACAGATAACTGTCATTCAAAGACACTTTAAAATGTCACCTTACACAGAAGATTCAATCTCTTCTTTTTCTACTCTACCAAGCTGATACACTAATTTTATATACAGTAAGTTTTACTGCTTTTTATAAACACTTCCGAACTTCTAAACAGAAAGTATAGTAAGTCTGAAATACATTTAAATGCAAATAAGTGCTCAGGAGAAAAAGCAGAATCCTACCTAATTCGATGTAGTCCTTTAGGCCCCAATTATAATCATCCCTCTTGCCCCCATCCCTCTTAACCTTACCCTCTTCTCCCCTTAGCACTTCCCCCCTTACTCTCAAGAAGCATCAATTTTTCCTCATTACCAGGTCATTTTGTTTCTTCTATCTTAAAAAAAAAAAAAGCCTCCCTTCACTCCATATCCTTCTCTACTTATTGTGCCAGGTCTACGCTCCCATTTATAGCAAAACTCCTCTAAGTGTTAATCACGCTTACTGCTGTCTCCTAGTTCCTGTCCTCTCGGACTCTACTGAACCTACTCAGATAGGGCTTTGCCTCCTTTCACTCTTGTTAAGATCACCCAAGACCTCCCAATTGCTAACTCCAATAGTAAAGTCTCAGCCCTCACTTCTTGTTCAATCAGTATTATTTGACCCAGTTGATAATTCCTTCCTTCTTGAAACCCCTTCTTCCTTGACTCCCAAGACACCACCCACTCTTGATTTTCCTCCTAATCTCTCTGGCCACTCTTGCGGGTTTCTTTTGCTGTTTCCTTCTCATCTCTCAAAACCTCGAAATGTTGCCAAGGCTCAGTTCTCAGAACTCTTCCCATTAGGTAATCTCACCCAGTCTCATGGCTATAAAAAGATATATATACTGGTGACTCCCAAATTTTTATCTCTAGCCCAGACCTTCTCCTTGAATTCCAAACTCATACATCCAACTGCTCATTCAACTGCTGTCAAAACTAAACTCCTGGCTACTTATCCCTCAACCTCCCCCTCAGACTCATCAGCATCTCAACAGACGACTCCATCCCTTCAGGTCAAAACCTTAAATTAATCATTGAATCCTCTTTTCCCACACCCTACATTCAACTCAATACCTATCTTGCCTCTATCTTCAAAACATATAGACCCAGCCCTGGCTGGTGTAGCTCAGTGGATTGAGCACAGGCCTGCGAACCAGAGGATTGCGGGTCAATTCCCAGTCAGGGCACATGCCTGGGTTGCAGGCCAGTTCCCAGCAGGGGACGCACTAGAGGCAACCATACACTGATGTTTCTCTCCCTCTCTCCTTCCCCTCTAAAGATAATTAATTAATTAATTAATTTAAAAAAACATACAGACTCTGAAAACTACTACCACCTCCTTGGTCCCACCTCCTTGGTCCAAGAAATCATCATGACCACCTAAATTACAACAGCCTCCTAAGCAGCCTCCCCTCTTCCATCTCTGTCCCACTACAATTTATTCGCTCAGCAGTCAGAGTGACCTCTTCAAAATCCAAGACAGATCTGGTTACTCCTTGGATCAAAATCCTCCAGGGCCTTCCCATCATACTCAGAGAAAAAGCTGAAATCCTTCACAATGGCCCACAGGCTCTAAGCGATTTGGGCCTCTGCTACTCAGACCTCAACTACTTCCTCTCCCCAATGCTCAATCTGCTCCAGCCACACTGGCCTCCTTTTGGTACTTCAAGAACTCTAAACAAGTTTCCTTCTCAGGGATCTTCTACTTGTTTTTCCCTCTGGCTGGAACACTCTCTTACATCAAATAACTTCATGGCTCACTCCCTTAAAACGTTTAGAAAATCTAGAACAGATGCAAGATTAGAATACTAAAATAAGGACTGAAACTTTCATCAGAATTGTTTCCCTCCCCAAACTTTG